TACACAGAGAAACCCTGTCTCAAAAAACCAAAAAAAAAAAAAAAAAAAAAAGAGAAGCTCTCATTATGTTGCCCAAGCTTTCCTCAAAGTTGTGAATTCAGGGATTCTCCTGCCTTAGTCTTCCAAGTAGCTGGGACAATAAGTATGCACCGGCATACTTGACAAATTTATTTTCCTTTTTTTTTTCCCCCAAGACAGGGTTTCTCTGTGTAGCTTTGCGACTTTCCTGGAACTCACTCTGTAGCCCAGGCTGACTTTGAACTCACAGAGATCCACCTGACTCTGCCCCCCCGAGTGCTGGGATTAAAGGTGCGCACCACCACCACCTGGCTACCACCCAGTTTTTAAGTATCTTTCTTAACACATTTAAAAACAACTTGCAATTTCTTAGAGTGAAAAAAAATCAACTTTAATGTCAAAAAATTTTCCTGGATTAACAATAAAAACAGACTTTCTATGACTATATAATGCAAACAAAGGTCAGGTACCAAAGCAGAACCCAACAGCTATCTCAATCTCAAAAGCCCTTTCTCATCACAGAGAGAACACATCCCTATGACTCTAAGAAAGCGCTCACTGCTCTGATCTAACAGCTGGAGACTGAACATACAACCTGTTCACAACATTCAAGTAACTTTAAAAAGGTCTGGCATCACACCAAACAAGTGAACAATATGATCCAGTCACAGAAGAATGCATGACTGAGAAGATCTGACTGATACATGTCCCAAACTTACAGTTTCCATATAACACTTCCTCCCCCATTGACTTGCCCTTTGAACCTGCCTTCAAAACAACTGCACTGCATACCCCCTTGCCACCTGTCATCCCACAGACAGGCCTGGGGCACCCTCGCACCTGCTGAGGGGGTCATTTCTGTACCAGTGTTCCTCTGCAATGACTTGCTCTCCTCGTAGAACTGAAAAACCACACGTGACTCCCTGTCCACTCCACAGAGACACTACTTGGAAAGAGGAAAACACATTCTGAGGACTATTCTCCAAACACATCACCTCAGACAGCCTCATCTCTACAGCACTCCCAGCTCATTCATCACGTATATGCCCATCTCTGACTCCTACCAGGTTCAATCAGCTACCTAGGAGTACCTTAACTCCAGCTCAAGTAGAGATGAGGACACAGGTTGAAAAGGGAGACACATGTCCCCAGGAGCCACCTGTTCCTCTTCCCCAAAACTGTACTGAAAGCAGCCTGAAGGCCAAGATCCGCCTTCAGCCCTATATCTCTACAAACAGCTGCTAGCTAAGATAATATCCTCCTCATAAAATCCATGTCAGAAAGATTTTTTAAAAAGTGCTCAGAGGTTAAGAGCACTTCCTGCTTTTCCTTGGAACCCAAATTTGGTTCCTAGCACATCTATCAGGTGGCTTTTAACCACCTGTAACTCAAGCTCCAGGGGATCTGAGACCCTCCCCTGGCCTTTGAGGGCACCCACGAACACATGGGATTTACTCACACACACATATAAATATGTTTTGAAAAGAAACATAAAACAAGCTCTGATTCCATCTCTTATGGGGACCTTGCCTTGCCTGCATCACTGGAGATTGAAATGCATCCTGTTCCATGACAGGCAGGGCACCTAAGCACCAACTCAAGAAATGTGGCACAGCCTGAAGTTAAGCTCTGCAGTTCTTTCTTTTGCAGAGGACAGGGGTCAGGTTCCCAGCACTCACATGGTGGCTAACAACCATCTACATCTACAGTTCCAGAGGATCTGATGCCCTCTTTTGGCCTCCAAGGGCACTGCACACACATGATGTACAGACAAGCATGCACCTATACACATAAAATAAAAATAATTTTCTTTTTTCAGACAGGGTTTCTCTGCGTAGCCCTGGCGTGTGTCACCATGGCCCAGATAAAAATAAATCTTAAAAAAAGCCAGGTGGTGGTACACATCTTTAATCCCAGCACTTGCGATGTAGAAGCAGGTGGATCTCTAAGCGTTCCACGTCAGCCAACACTACACAGAGAAACCCTGTGAGAGTGAAGGAAGGAAATGTATCAAGGCCTGGTTGTGGCACACACTTTTAATGCCAGCACAAGGGAAACAAGCAGGTAGATCTCTGAGTTCAAGGCCATCCTGGTCTGTATAGCAAGCTCCAGGCCAGCTAGGGACTATATATCGAAATTCTTATCTTTAAAAAAATTATTTTTCGATGATTTGATAATCTGAAGGCACTTTTTTGCATGCTTTCTGAATTTCTGACAGATGCAGCACCTTTGGAAAATCTAAAGCGCCTTAAATTCTCAAGTCCGCATGTCTCCCTCTGACCAAACCACATCTCTTTTTTCCAAAGGGGGATGGGGGTGGGTGGGCTCCAAGCCTCACCCCAGCAGAGCACCAGTCCTCAATGAGGGCAAACCACACACAGCTTCTTCCAAGCAGGTGTTTTCTGACAGGACACAACTGAAATGAGCCCCAGGGCCTGTTTCAAAGAATGTGATCATCTACACAAAGAAATATAATGTCCCTCTTCCTCCAATATGGCACAGTTAAAATACTTAGGAGGCTCAAGCTCCAGGAAGACATCTTGGGCAGTTGCACTGGGGACTTCCTTACTCCCTAAGATGCCCACAGAGCCTCCCCTTGGGAGAGCCTCCCCTTGGGAGATCCTCACATGACAGAAAAGTGACACTGGATTCTCCGACCAAACCCAATGTTATGAGTCAATTACTTGACCTCACCTGTAAAACGGGAACAATATCTACCTCACAACACAATATGAATGAAGTATGTATCTAAATATCTGCCTTGAAGTAAGAGCTCAATAAATGGTACTTAAAACCTCTGGCCCACCTTAACGGCAGACTAAGCTAGACCTATTTCCACAGCCTCAGGTCATACTGCTGGCTTTACAAGTGTAAAGGGGAAAGGCTTTGAGGAAAGTTAATTGAGACAGTGTCAGCATGCCAGGTTAAAGTTCAAATGCAAATACACTTTAACCATGCAAATCTTCCAGTCCTCAGATGAAAATCCATCACAGGAGCCACCTCTGTCATTCCTAACAGGAAGCAAGGCATATTCCCACATGTGGGGGGGGACTCTCGATGACAAAGTTCTTCTCATTTCTTTACAGAGAAGTCTACCATTTATTCTGTAATTCTCTTCTGCTCACTGAAAAAGCTGCCTGATGACAAGAAAATTGCAGATATCAAATGTCCATCATGGAAGTGTCAAGACTATGTGAGAAAACACTCTTCCTCTTCACATAGACACCATCAAATACACACCTTATACACTACAACAGCACCACTGTGTAAAAGTTCACTTCATAAGCATCCACAATACTGTCACTCTGACTTCCAAGCACCCCGGGGTAAAGACACAAGTGTTGCAACACCCTTTTGCCTTTCACCATTTTTCTCAACTGGATAGGTCCTCCTCCTTTTAGAACTTGGATTAATTATCACCCATCTCTACAATGGAAGGTTATAACTTGGAAGTCCACAGATGAGCTGCAGAAGGCTCAAGAGCCTCCAGTAGCAACAAAATTCAGAGCAGCTGTGCATGCTTCTCAACGGGAGCCCATACTTTCAGATTCTCAAAGGGGCTCATGACCCTCCAAAAACATCTAAAAACCACTACCACAGCCGCATCCTAGACCAAACTGGATCAAGTGAGTCTCTTGGGTCTGCCCGAGTAAAGGGACCTACAACCCTCTTCCCGCCCCACCCCACCCACAAAGAAGGTAGGGGTAAAAGATCGAACCCAAGAGCTCTGAACCTATGAGACAGGCAGATCACCACTGAATTACAGCCCTAGCCCAAGGGGGTCTGCCTTCTGAACCAAATTTTGCTGGACGTCTGACATCATTCCATCACCCACTTCATATCGCATACAAGGTAGACACGCTGATCTATCTTGATCCTAAGAACTCTAAAACTTAACAGAAAATACAAGACAACTATGGATAGTTTTAACAACACAGAGAAAACAGAAACACTTCACCCAACAAGTGGTTGGTTTGGTTTTGGGTTTTGTTTTGTTTTTCCCCTAAAACCCCTCCTCCCTGTCAAACTTAGGCTGCCCTCACTAGGGCCTCTCAGCCCGGCCTCCCAGAGCTTCCCACCTCACTGAGCGCAGAACCACAGGCAAGAGGAGCACCGAAATGCCCCGCTGACCAAGAATCTGGAAAGGAGCTGCCAGCATCAGGTGCTACAAGCAGAAACTCGCATCTCCTGCTTCCCAAGATCCTCCTTTAGGTAAAGGCCAGAGGTTTCTCCTCCGCAGGCAAGACCTCAAGGTAAGCCCAGAGGCTCGGCTCTAGGCTGCGCGGAGCCGAAAACAAACTTTCCAGGCACTTCCACCCCGCCCGGCCGGGTGACACCTCCCGGCCTCCCCCGCCCTCCGCGCCCTGTCAGCGCCCCCGGCTGCCGCCGCCAGCCCCAGCCGGGGCCTGCGTTCCCCGCCGCAGCCGAGAGGCACCCTCGGACGGCGCCAGCAGTCCTGCCCGCCACCCAGCCGCAGGTGAGGCGCCGCCCGGCCCGCGGCACCGGGCCGCCCCGCCTCGCCTAGCAGAACCCGGGCGACCGCCACGCTCCCGGGTAACGGACCGGCGCGCCCTGTAGCCGCCGCGCGCTCACCAGCTGGCTGGTGGTCCTGGCCATGAGCCCCGCGTCGGCGCGGGCGCCTCCCCCGCAGCGTTGCGCTGCTCGGCGCCTCCTCAGCGTCCTCCTCCCCGCGGCGGAGCCCCAGCAATGGCCGCCCTCATCCTGCGCCCGCCCCGCTGCCTGCCGCCCCCAGCGCCACCCCGCCCCCGCGCGACGCTGGGTGGGACTTCCGCGACGCAGCCGCCGCTGCCCATGTCCATTGGTCAGTACACCTATCACTCGCCGCGGGCCGTGAGTGCCCCCCCCCGCCCAGGAACCGCATTTCCGGGTTGGGTCCAGACGCGCCTGTAGAGGGCGACCGAGCGAGCCAATCCGAGGCGGCGGGGAGGGGCTGGGTCTAGAGCGCCGAGCTGTCATCCGCTTTCCTTGTCAGGTAAACTGAGGCTGGGCGGGCTGCCGACCAAGGTCACGCCTGGGGCAGCAGCAAGGCTGAGCTTGAACCCGCTGCCTGGACTACTTGAATGGCTTTGATTCACGGCTCACGAGTGATCCGGGAGAGAGATTGGGCTATCCTATTATTTGAAGCAGAAAACAAGCCATCCTGTCACTGACAGCCTCGGAAACTGTGCCTCTATGTTGGTGGGTGTCGTTTTTCTCTTTGGGTGTCTTTGTGAGCTTGCTTTTATTATTTTTATTTCCTTTCCCCTCAACAAGATCTCACTATGTAGCCCAGACTGGCCTCATACTTGCAGCAATCCTTCTGTCTCAGCCTCCCAACTGCTGAAATTACAGGTGTGAGCCACCACACCCTGCTTTAGTTGATTAATGACAACGCTGTTCTTGGGTTTTTTTTAATTGTGGTGAAACGAATACAAATTTTACAATCTTTACTTTAAGAAAAAAACTTTTTGTGCTTTGTGTATAATATATGTGTATGTCCACTTGTGTGTGGATGCCAGGTATCTTCAATACCATTCTCCACCTGGAGCTTGCTAATTCCTCTAGGCTGACTGGCCACTGAGATGCAGTGATCCTCCTGTCTCTACTTTCCCAGGGGTGAAATTACAGACATGCCCACCACCTGCAGCTTTTACATGAGTGCTGAGGATCCAAACTCAGAACTTCATGTTTACATGGCAGGCACTTTACTAAGCCATCTCCCCCGCCCTTACCCATTTATTTCAGTGTTGGGAATTGAACTCAAGACCTCACACATGCTACGTTTCTCTAAATTAAAATATCTAAATGCCTCTTACCACCTTTGTTTTTGTGGTGGTTTTGAGACAGTGTCTCAGCATGTAGCCCTGGATAACCTGGACCTCACTATGTAGACCAGGCTTGCCTTCAATTTTTGAACTTCCTGCCCTAACTTCCCAGGTGCTTGGATTACAGGTATTCACTACCCTCTTCAGATACCTGTTGTTATTTTTTAAAGTAATTTAAAGTCAGCTGAAAATTACTGAGTGTTCAGCCTTAAATGGGGCATCTAGAAACAGATGGTAATAGTGTACACTTTTAGTCCCAGCACTTGGGAGGCAGAGGCAAGTGGAGCTCTGTGAATCTGAGGCCATCCTGGTCCACAAAGTGAATTCCTGTCCCCAAAAACAAACAAAAAAATAAATGGAGCATCTATATCATTCCCCTTTCAACTAAGGCTTAGGGAGCATTGAGAAAGAGGGAAAGGAAAGAATGTGAGAGCTGTAAATGGGAAGGAATGCTGAGAAGTTGTTTCCTGAACATATATGTCCGTGGTACTGATGAACTCAACGCAGCTGTGGTTACCTGCACACGATCAAGCCAGTCACAACTCCAACATGCATAGGAGAGGGTCTTACGAGGCTGCACACCCCTCTGAGTAGTCACTGCAACTGATGGCTGCTGGGGGAGAGCCTTTTTTCTGTGACGGTGTGGCCACTGGAAGGTTGTCCATGCTCAAGTGGATGACCCCATACACATTCATACACACACACAGCACTAACCAAACTTGGTAGGTTACTAAAAAGTCTACTGCCACCTGCCCCACTCAAAAATTGGTTTAAAGTCAGATGAAGTGGAATGGACCTGTAGAGCCTTCTAACCTGGTAGGCAAATCAATTGAGTCCAGGAGTTCAAAGTCAACCTGAGCAATAAATAGCAAGACTTTGTCTCAAAAAAATTTAGATGATATAGAGCAGCCAACATTCATGGGATAAATTCATAATCCCATGCAGGCAGAATGAATTGCCAAACAAGCACTAATGGCCATTAACAGCTACTTCATATTGACTCTAAAGTGAGGAATTTTCATCCTAGATCTCATTTATTCTGAAGCATCCCTAACATTGTTGCCCCAATTTTCAGATGAGGAAACTGAGGCACAGGAGTGGCAATTCCACAGTTTGCAGTGCCAGAATGGGGACCCAGGCAGCCACATTCTAGAACCTGTATGTCAACCCCTAAAGACACAGTCCATATCTACCCATTCTTCCAGTCTGCCATATATTTATAGGCCTTAAAAACAACAAACGGGCCGGTGGTGGTGGTGGTGGTGGTGGTGGTGGTGGTGGTGGTGGTGCACAGCTTTAATCCCAGCGCTCGGGAGACAGAGGCAGGTGGATTTCCATGAGTTCAAGGTCAGCCTGGTCTACAGAGTTAGGGCAGCCAAAGCTACACAAAGAAACCCTGTTTCAAAACAAAACAAAACGCCAAGAGATGGCTCAGTGAGTAAAGTACTTGCTATAAAGGCATGAAAACCTGAGTCTGGATCCTCATAGTCCATGTAAAGCCATCCACAATTAAGCTCATCCCATAAGCTCAGCATTCCTGTGAAAAGAGAACCCCTGGAAGCTTGAGAGTCAGTCATTCCAGACCCTGAACAACAGACCTGCCATGGCTCAGCCAGGAAAACACTGCTGTGCAAGCTTCACAGCCTGAGTTTAACCCAACCGAAGCCAAGATGGCTGATAACTGACACCATGTATGTGCTGTGATACGTGTATGCCCCCATCACACACACACAATACAGTAAGTTTCTTAAAGTTTGATTAGATTTATTTATTTTTATGTTGTATGTTTTTCTTGCATGTATATCTGTCTGTGCTCCACATGTGTGCTTGGTACCCACAGAGGTCAGAAGAGGGTATCGAATCCCCTGGAACTGGAGATGGTTGTAATCAACAGGTGGGTGTTCAGAACAAGAGCAATATGTGCCCTTAACCTTTACCATTTCTCCAGCCCTATAATAAGTTTCTATGAGTTTGAGGCCACCTTGGCCTCCATAGTGAGTCCCAGGCCAGCCAAGGTTACATAGTGAGATCCTGTCTCAAACCAAAAAACTAAAAATGAATGAATAAGAAGAAACCTTGTGTCAAATAAGGTCGCAGATAAGGACTAAGACCTGAAGCTGTCCTCTGACCTCCATATATGTGCCTGCACTCACACACACACACACACACACACACACACACACACACACACACACACACGGGGTGGGTTGACTTAAAGCAGCAGGTGACTATAACCCCCAGTGCCCAGAAGTCTCATTTGGTGTGACCCATCCTTCCTTTGACACCAAACACTGTGTTACCCTGTGTCCTGTATGCCCTTCCCCTGGTGGCCATCTGCCTCAGCTGCAGAGGATTCCATTGGAGGAACATTCCATTTACAGATGGGTATTTAGAGATCCATATATTGATAAATCTCTACTAACATACCAAACATTAAAATGGTTCCCAGGCTGAGTGGTGGTGGCCCACACCCTTAATCACAGCACTTAGGAGGCAGAAGCAGGTGGCTCTCTTATGAGTTCGAGGCCAGCATGGTCTACAGAGTTAGTTCTAGGGCAGCCAAAGCTACACAAAGAAACCCTGTTTCAAACAAACAAACAAAAATAACAACAAAATAGTTCCCAGTTTTGTTTTGTTCTCATGAACCAGGTCCTACACCAAAATCCAGACACAGCCTTACTTGCTTTCTTGGATAAATTTGTAGTCTAGGGCTGGAGATATGGCTCAGAGGTTGAGAGCACTGCTTGCTCTTCCAAAGGTCCTGAGTTCAATTCCCAGCAACCACATGGTGGCTTACAACCATCTGTAATGAGATCTGGCGCCCTCTTCTGGCCTGCAGGGATATGTGCAGACAGAACACTGTATACATAATAAATAAATAAATCTTTAAAAAAAAAAAAAAAAAAAAAAAAAAATTTGTAGTCTATGAAATTAGGAGGTCAAAGTGCAGTTCATTACTGCTAAATTGCCTGCCATGTCCCACAAAGGCTACACTGTCATCCTAAGAATACATAAAGACAAGCCGGAGGGGATGGAGCTCTTGCCAGCATACACTTTTGAAGACTTTGTCGTCACTATCCTGCCACACACAAGAGCAGAGTGCCAGCTTTCGACACTTGATGGCCCCACGATTGTCCCCACTATCCACATGAGGGAACAGAGGCTGTATTGGTTACTCTTACAGAGTTAGGTCACAGAATACAGGTTTCAAAATCAGACACGTGTGTGTGTGTGTGTGTGTGTGTGTGTGTGTGTGTGTGTGTGTGTGTGTGTGTGTGAGAGAGAGAGAGAGAGAGAGAGAGAGAGAGAGAGAGAGAGAGAGAGAGGGAGAGGGAGAGAGAGAGAGAGAGAGAGAGATCATACTCCCTTTCTCAGAAAGTTACTGAAGAATGTGTTCCACCAAAAATAAGTAAAGGAATAAACCAAGAAAGAAGATATGGCCAGCCTATGTTGACTACCCAAGGGAGGCCTTACCCTCTATGAGGAGGGAATGGGGGTGGGATGGGAGGAGGTGGGGGGAAGTGGGAGAAGGGGAGGGAGGCAGAACAGGGGTTGGTATGTAAAAGGAAAGGAATTTTTTTCTTTCTTTTCTTTTTTCCTTTTTTAAAGATTTATTTATTTTATTATTTATTTATTTGTTTGTTTGTTTCTTTATTTGTTTATTTATTTATTATGTATACAGTGTTCTGCCTGCATGTATGCCTGCATGCCAGAAGAGGGCACCAGATCTCATTACAGATGGTTGTGACCCACCATGTGGTTGTTGGGAATTGAACTCAGGACCTCTGGAAGAGCAGCCAGTGCTCTTAACTGCTGAGCCATCTCTCCAGCTCAAGAAAAATTTTTTTAAATAAAAAAAAGAAAGAAGATATGAGAATACAAAGGAATAGAGTATACCTAGGCCCTGTGTATCCTTTCAATGATCATTGAGCCTCCTCGTGCCAAGCACTGTGCTTGGAAATTCACCAGTGAACAAAACACAAAAAGGTTTCCTGTGGAATTCTGGTACTAATACAGGAGTGGAGGAAGAGAGGAAACCTAATAAGCAAATTTTATAGCATATTAGAAGGTAAAAAGTCTTGTTGGGGAGAAAGAAACTCCTATCAATGGGGTCGCAGAAGTGCACAGGGAGGAGGTAAAAGTTTAAATGGAGAAAATCCAAGATCAGAGCTGTGGGCAATAAGCACCCAGACCATTAGTAAGCAGGCTTCCCGAGTAATCCATAAAAAAAACTTAAAAAGCTAGGTTCTCAACACATAGAAAGTTGAGTTGAGGAGCTGACATAGAGATGAAAAAACCCAGGAAAAATAAACCCAACATCCAAAAACTCTACTCGAGAGCCAGCCTGGCCACAGTGTGAGTCTCTCTTCAGTCCCTCTCCTGCTGAGTGTGATATTTACAGGCATGATCAGGTACTGACTCAACCCTGAATCATCAGACTCTCTTGACATGAGGCTGGAGCTGTGGCAGGGTATTCAGCACAAAAGCAATATATAGCCACAAATGATGACTCAAGATATAAAGATGGACATAAAAAGCAGGAAGACAGGGAGGTTACTGATTTTATCACAGCCTTTTCAGAACTATTTGGCTTTTTTAAAAAATGTTACGTGTATGGGTGTTTTGCCTGCATGGATGTCTGAGTACTACTTGTGTACAGTGCCAGGAAGGTCAGAATAGAGCATAAAATCCCTGAAACTAGAGTTAAAGACAGTTTAAGTTGTCGTGTGCCTCTGGGAATTGAACCTGGTCCTCAAGAAAAGCAGACAGTGCTTTTAATTGCTGAGCCATCTCTCTAGGCCCACTATCTGGTCTTTTATCTACTGACAAAAATAAAAATTGATAAAATGGAGCTGGGCATGGTGACTAACTTCTGTAATCCCAGTACTCAGGAGTCTGAGGCAGGAGGATCACCAACCACAGTTCAGAACTTCTCACTAATGAATGTAAAGCTGGTCAAAATATATTTGTGACCCCACAGCTTACTATGTTTTGTGTTGCTGAGCATTATGGCCACAGCCTCCCTCCTTCCAAGCAAACAATCTACCATTGAGCAGTATCCTTAGTCCCGACAGCACAAATGAGAGAAAGGGGCCATGGGTTTAAAGAGCAAGGAGTGAGGGACATGGAGGGCTGAGAGGGAGGGTAAGGAAGAGGGAAGTTATGTGCCTATATTATAGTCTTTAAAATATATATTTAAAGCCAGGTGGTGGTGGCTGTGGCACAAGCCTTTAATCCCAGTACTTGGAAGGCCGAAGTAGATGAATCCCTGAGTTCAAGGCTAGCCTGGTCTACAGAGTTAGTTCCAGGACAGCTAGGGCTACACAAGGAAATACTGTCTTGGGAAGAAAGGAAGGACGGGAGGGAGGGAAGGAGGGAGGGAGGACAGACCAACCAAAAAATATTTAAAAAAAAGAAAAAAGCAATGTCTTATTTATTTCAAGGGATAAATGAGGAGGGCTGGAGAGATGGCTCAGTGGTTAAGAACATTGGCTCCTCTTCCAGAGGACCCAGGTCAGTTCCCAGCACCCACATGGCAGCTCACAACTGTCTGTAACTCCAGTTCCAGAGGCTCTGACACCCTCACACAGACATCCATGCCGGCAAACCACCAACCAATGCTCATGAAAATAAATTAAAAAACAAAAACAAAAAACAATGAGGGCTGGAGATGTAGTTCAAAGGGAGAGTGCTTGCCTAGTATGTGTGAGGCTCTGAGTTTAATCCCCAGTAGCACTAAAATAAAAATGAGATCAAACAGGGAGAGGAAATGGCTTAGTGGATACAGCCCTTGCCACACAAACATGAGGACTGGAGTTTGGATCTCGTGAACCTACTTAGTAGTCAGGCAGGTACTCAACACTCAAGAGGCAGAGACTGGAGATCCTTGGGGCAAGCAGCTAGCTGTCCTAGCCTATCAGTAAGCTCTGGGTTCATTTGAGAGAGCCTGCCTCAATAATTAAAGTGGAGAGCCCTCAAGGGAGACACCCAATGTCAACTTCAGGCCTCCACATGCATACACATACCACACACACATACCAACAGCCTCCTGTTGATCCTGGAGATTGGTGTGCACTTATTACAAGAACAGAGCAAAGTTCTAACAGAAAAAGAGTAAAGCTAATGAAGAAGCCAAAGCAGGTGTGGTGGTTCTGGCCTTTAACTCCGCAGTCCGGAAGCAGACAGGCAGATCTCTGTTGAGTTCAGGACAGCCTGGTCTATGAAGTGAGTTCCAGACCAGTCAGGGCCACAAGGTGAAACCCTTTTCAAAAGTTAAACAAAGCCGGGCGGTGGTGGCGCACGCCTTTAATCCCAGCACTCGGGAGGCAGAGCCAGGCGGATCTCTGTGAGTTCGAGGCCAGCCTGGGCTACCAAGTGAGTTCCAGGAAAGGCGCAAAGCTACACAGAGAAACCCTGTCTCGAAAAACCAAAAAAAAAAAAAAAAAAAAAAAAAAAAAAAAAAAAGTTAAACAAAATTGTTTTTCAAAATAAAAGAAGCAAGTTAAAGAATAAAAAAAAAATTGCAAGGCAGCGGTGGCACACACTTTTAATCCCAGCACTCGGGAGACATATACAGGCTGATCTCTGAGTTTGAGGTTAGCCTGGTCTACAGAGAGAGTTCCAGGACAGCCAGGGCTACACAGAGAAACACTGTCTCAAAAAAATTTAAAAAAAATACAAAATTTAAAATCCAACATTGGCCAGCAGGATGGTTCAGCAGGTAAAGGCACGTCACCTGATGACTTGAGTTCAATCCCTGGGACTCACATGATGAAAGAGAGAACTGACTCCTAAAAGTTGTTCTCTACCTACCACATACAGACTGTAAAATGTTTCAAGATCCATTGAACGTGAGCTGTGGTGCTGGGAGAGATAGAGAGCAGTGTCAGAGTGACTGAGGGCATGAAGTCCACGGTTCCTTCTCTGGTAGAGGCAAAAAATGCTATGTGGTGGCACACTCCTTTAATTTTAGCATTCTGATGGCTAAGGTAGGAGGATCTCAAGTTCAAGGCCAGCCTTGGTCATGGAGTGAACCCCTGCCACAAGTGGGGGAAATACAGTGGATATTTTTCCTGCTATAAGTATGTGACTGGCCAACAGAAGGCTGAGCTGGTATAAAGACACCTGCTGCCAATCATGATAGCCTGAGTTATGTGATGACCTGTGTGATAACCACACACAGTAGAGAGCCAACTGTTTGCTACTGGTTTTCAGCTTCACACTTGCACCATGGCACACATGTACACAAACGCATACACATACAGAAAATAAATTCTTTTTTTGGTAAAGACTATCTAACCTTGGTCAGCCTAGAACTCACTATGTAGGCCAGGCTGGGCTTGAACTCATAGAGACCTGCCTGACTTTGCTTCCTGAGTGCTGGGATTAAAGGCCTGAGCCACCATGTAAGGCCTGTTAAAATATTTTTTAAGTGTATATAAAGTATTTTTTGTGCATGTCCTGGTGTTGGGAATCAAATTTAGGAACTTGAACATGCTAGGCAAATGCTCTACCTCTGAAGCACAAGTTCAGATCCCAATAAATTGATGTAAAATTAAAATTAAAATAAAGCCTAAGATAAGCCAGGAAATGGTTTAGTTGGTAAAATGATTGCCTTGCAAACATAAGATCCTAAGTTGATTCCCCAGAGTCCACATAAAAAAGTTGGGCATGGTAGTATGCTGGTTGAAATAAAAAGGTGTTGGGCTGGAGAGATGGCTCAGCAGTTAAGAGCATCTACTGGTCTTGCAGAAGACCCAAGTTCAGTTCCCAGCACCTGCGGAAGAGAATATTTGTTTAACTATATAAAGATGTGTTGCATTTGTTCATGTTATGGAATATTTGTTTAACTATGTAAAGATGTGTTGCTGTTTCACCTTGCCTGCCTAAGGCACCTGATAGGTCTAATAAAAAAGCTGAATGGCCAATAGCTAGGGTCCAGCCAGTCAGACATGGAGGAAGCAGGAAAGCAGGATGGACAGTACATAGATGAGGTAAATGTGCCTCAGGGCAGCACATAGATCAATAGAAATGGGTTGATTTAAGTTAAAAAAAAAAAAAACTAGGTAGAAACAAGCCTAAGCTAAGGCCAAGTATTCATAATTAACAATAAGTCTCCATGTTGTGATTTGGGGGCTGGTGGTCCAAGAAAGCCTCCTACAGTAAAACAAGGCCAGCGGCCTCTCCTCAGACAAGGGGTCCCTAATTTGACAACAGGTCGCTCACAACTGCCTGTAACTCTAGCTTTAGGGAGATCCGACACCTTTGGCCTATGAGGGTACCTGGACTCATGAGCATGCGTGCACTCACTCACACACACACACACACACACACACACACACACACGCACACGCACACGCACACGCGCACACACACACACACACACACACTGTTTTAAAGGCAGCTGGGCAGGTGACAGGAGCAAGGGAGGGAGGGCAACAGAAAGTTCTGTCTCTAGGACCTTCATGGCAGCCACCAGGCAAGACTCAAGCCAGGCTTGGCCAGCGAGCTCCTCTTACTTCTGCAAAGACAGGGCACCTGTGTAGGCAGGTCTGGCTGCCCACCTCAGGACAGTGGACAGGAGGGGAGATGGTCTTACCCGGTCTGGTACAGTTCAGTTCATTCGGACCCAAGGCCAAGGAGAGGGACTATCTGTCCCTTCTGTGCCCAGAATCTCGTGTGTCTGCAGAGTCCCTGAGCCAAGTATGTAGTGGCTTGGGGTGACATTATGAGGTCATGGACAGGCAAGAGGATGGTGAGAACCATCTTAGAAGGGGCTGGGAGGTGTCTGGTGTGCACATGGCTCACGCTGTTTTACTCTCTTCAGCCAGCCCTCATGGTGTGAGTGAGGAAACCGGTTCAGAGGCTAGAAACTTTGACCACCGGGCCCCATCTG